CCAGTGAGCTTGGTGAAGACAAAAGTTTGGTAGACCAGTTCCAACTGCGGTGACAGTTGTACGTCTGGTTAGGGCGGCTAGGTATTTAAACCTGAGGACACACAGTCCCGGACACCCAGTCCTGAACACGCAGCTCAGGACACTCAGTCCTCACCATATTCCCCTTGAGCTAAGGTCACACAGACCTCGCCTAATCACTCTGGTAAGTCTTCAAGGTAGACTTCCAAACCTTCACAGACTTCGTTCACCGGCGATCCACAATGACTCTTGGATGCTCAGAATGCGACGCCTAACCGGCTGGAGGATTCACAGTCCTCAAGTGTAATAAGTCTTCAGATCACACAGACAGGAAGACTTCAGTGATGCCTAACACTCTTTGGCTTTGGGTGTTTAGGGCTTTATCCTCGCAAGGAATTCTCTCTCAAAGGCTTCGAGGTGGGTTGCTCTCAAACGACAAAAGCCGTGTACTAACTCTGAGCAGCCAACCGTGTATGGTTGTAGGGGGTGGGCTATTTATAGCCACTAGGCAACCCGACCTGATTTGTCCGAAATGACCCTTGGTCACTAAGGAACTGACACGTGTTCCAACGGTCAAATTTCAAACACACACGGCAACTTTATTTGAGCTACAAGCAAAGCTGACTTATCCAACTCTGGACAAGATTTGCTCTCATAGTCTTCACTCGAAGACATAGGATTTTGGTTAAGCATCACTTCAGTCATTCTGACTGGTTCACTTGGACCCCACTTAACAGTACGGTGGTTCCTATGACTCAACAAAGAAGAAAAAGAACGACGAAAGAACTAAGTCTTCACGCTCCATAGTCTTCATGCGATGTCTTCTCTTGTCATAGTCTTCAATGTGAATGTCTTCACATACCACCTTTGACTTCAATGTCTTCTTACATTTTTAGGGGTCATCTCTGGTAGGAAAACCGAATCAATGAGGGACTTCTACCTGTGTTATCCTGCAATTCTCACAAACACATTAGTCCCTCAACTAGGTTTGTCGTCAATACTCCAAAACCAACTAGGGGTGGCACTAGATGCACTTACAAAAAGTTATAGGCAACACTTCGCGGACCGGTCTTGGGTGAAAAAGTGACACGAGGGACCAGACACCCACCTAGGTGGTGTCTGATGGGTCGCGTGAGTTATTCGGACTTTGCCGGTTGAATGAAGCTTGCCGGGATGGAGACCTTGACGACGTGGAGAGCTTGTTGGGGTGGAGACCTTGCCGGCGTGGAAGCTTGCTGGTGTGAAAGCTTGCCGGGGTAGAAACCTTGCCGAGGTGGAAACCTTGCCGGGGTGAAAGCTTGCCGGGGTAGAAACCTTATCGGGATAGAAACCTTGCTGGGGTGGAAACCTTGCCGGGATGAAAGCTTGCCGGGTTAAAAACCTTGTCAGTGTGGAAAGCTTGCCGAGATGGAAAGCTTGCCGTGGTGGAGACTGTCAAAGTCAATCCGACCAGAAGTTGGATATGGGCTCGAAAGTTTATTCATATGGCCTCGTATGGAAACGTGTTCTACACGGAAGTTGTGCGTATTATCTAAATGGTAAACTTTGCTTTTGGAGTCATCATCATCGGAGATAGTATATGGCCTGCAAAATTATTACAAGACTCGAACAGTTCAGAAAACTGCATAATTGAATTCGACCCATATTTAAAGATAGGCCCTGGAAATCATAAAGATGGCCGTAAAAGGAGAAGTGGCCTGTGATGTCTTATGCAGATCATCGAGGCAGACAAGTTTGATGTTGAACTCGACTCCATGCGAGTTAGTATGCGATTTCTACGGCCCACGCAAGAAGCAGGACACAAATATGGGACAGATTCGGGTTGAATCTGAGTTGGACTAAAACTAGAACTGTAGGACGTGAATTGATCCAATTTTCTTGGAAGGAAAGCCTAGATGGATCATTTGCTTGTACGGGAAGTCCAGACGCCTCTTATATATGTTAGGGGTGACGGCCGATTGAAACCACACACAATCGAACAAACACATCTACTACTTTTTCGTGTTCATCTACTTTTTATCTCTCCCTTGTATCTTTCTTTTCGTTCTTCGCTAGTTCTTCATGCTGAAGAGCTGTGGATCCACGAGGCTCTAGGAACGAGCGAATCGACCTGGAGCAGCCCATAGCCGCCGCGAGCCCTGACGGGGTCCCTCCCGGATAAGCGGGGCTTCGGGTCTACAAAAGCGCCCGCCGACTGTCTTGCGTATCACGCTGTCGGTCGAATCTCCTTCGACGTGAGCTATGGTGCATCACCCCCGGCGTTGAGAGTACACGTGACGTGTTCGTGTGTCGACAATTATCTTGCACAAGTACTGATTACTTTGTCTTACTACATACTTGATTGAAGAGTTTAGGGAGCGCTGCTGATAGAAACCAACTTCATGCTTTGAGTAAGTTGATGAATCATGCATAGATGATGCTTGGTTTAATTGGCACAATTAATTTGTGTTGCCACCGTGTAGTTTTGCGAGCCAAGCGATGTGCTGTGCGCATCCCTAGAAGCGATTGCATGTAGGAAGTTTGTGCCTTGCATATGATCTTCTTCTCCTCCACAATATATTGATTGCTACAGACTTGAAACAAGCTTCGGATGACATTCCCAAGGGGAGCTGTGGGAACTATGGCCAAATCATAGCTAAGATCAAGCAAAGAGCATAGAGCACAATTGCATGTTCCGTTTTGAGGGAAGAGCATCAAATTATGAAGCATATTTGCTAGCAAAATTCTCTCATTCATTAGGTCAGGGACGCCATATTTGGCTGGCCAGCCCCATGACCCATTATGTTTCCAATTTTTGTAGATTTTGAATAATAAAGTGTGGCCTTTCTAAAAAAACAAAAAGAGCGACTCTCGTAACCTCTTGTGTGGAATCTCCAATTCTTTGCCGGACCACTAGACGCGAGCTGAAGAACATTTTTCTCTAGGTTTTGGGGGTTTCTACTTTATGTTTTTCTTATCTTTTTTTTCTTCTTTTACTTTTAAAAATTCATGAGCATTTTCAAAATACCGCGAACTTTTAAAAATTCATGAGCATTTTCAAAATACCGCGATTTTTTTTAAAAAATTAAAATTTATTTCTATATGGATATCTCAAAATTCCTGAACTTGTTAAATATTTTTTTCATTTAAATATAACATTTATTGGAAATAAAAGAAACGGAACCAGAAAACCATTCGTCCCACCACGTTCCCGGAGGTGCAGAAACGCTATGTGGGCCGGCCGCCGGCCCACCGCGCGTTTTGGGGCCTTCCCTTTCGCGGTGCGCACTCTGTCTGCCTTCTAGCCTAAAAAAAAACTCTGTCTGCCTCCCCGTGCTCCTCGCCGCCGTTCGGCGCACGGACGCCGTCGGCCATTGGGCATGCCGCTGACCTCCAGCGGCACGCACTCCGCCTCCGCCTACACCTTCACCAGCGGCGGAAGCGCCCTGGCTCACCTGGCACTTCCCATAAAAAAAAACAGCCGAGCGTGTGCCGAGGAGCGAGGGGAGCTTCTGTCTCTACTCTCTTCCAGCTCGGTTTCAACCTGAGCCCCGTTTCAATCTGATGCCACACACTGTCTTGCTGTTCATTCTTTACTGATTTGGCGACCGCCGTATCCTAGGTTTACCGGCGATGCCGAACAGGGGAAGAGAAGCGCCTCCCCATGCCACGCGCGGTTCCAATCTGCTGGTAAATCCAAGCACCGTCTCTTTTTGTATCCAAGTTCTGGTCAGTTCGTCTGATGCTTGGATCCAAATGCCCTGTTGGGTTCGAGATCTGATGGGCTTCCTCCCAGATCACAACCCGCAAAATCAGTTAGCTACTTTGGAGTATGGGGTTGATGCTAGATTGTTTGTCGTCCTGCTTGTTAGTTGCAAGCACAAATCCGTGCTGACATTGCTTCGAATTTCAACTAAAATGTAGAAGAATGTGGTACATGAACACTGAACAATGCAAGAGTACTGCTTGCTGGCTTATAGTCCAAGTGTTTTTTTATGGCCTGTTATTCCAACATTGAACATTGATTAGCAGCTATAACAATTAATCGCCCATATATTTGTATTATTCCTTTCTCAGTATATTGAATCTACTTTCTTTCCGGTAAAGATATTGAATCTATCTTCTTACCTGGTCTATCTTCAGAAACTTTGGAGTTTTAGACACGCCATTCTTTTTCATGCTTAGATTTCTAGTGGGGTATTTGTTGAATCTAGTGCTGCCATTGCTGTTGATGTCGCTAGTGGAACTGCCACAATTGCTCATTATGTGAATTTAGATGATCATGTGAGAATGCTCAATTACCCATTTGACAGGTACATGCTGCTGCAAAAGGTCTATCTAAAGTGTGACGGTTCTTTCCTCCTCCTCCCGTCTTTCCTACCATATATGGTACCCAACTCGTTCAGTTGCCTACCTTCATAGTCCATAATTTTCTCTCATCATCTTTTTAATGTTTTCCTTATCTTCCTTCAATCTCATGGAATCTGCAAAAGGATTTGTAAATCTCCTGCAAGCTGACTTACACAAAGATACTTGACTGCTATTTGAACTTTGAAGTGCCCCCTTCTATAGCTGTATTCTAAATAGTATATATTGTAGTGCACGGTACAAACTGAGACAGCATAAATTAAAATATTCATATTTTCACATATATTTATATATTAATCTTTTGCCCTCTAATCTTTTCTGTTCCAAATTTCTACGAAAAAAATGTGTGCCCCCACCCCCAAAAAAGTATTTTGTCAGTTGGCATTAAGGAATGCTGCCTTGCCAAGTTGCCAGATTTTAATTACTGAAAACAACGTTCTCATTCAGTGATCAGACCTGTTATGCGCCAATTACTGTGGTGAAGTTTCCATAGACCATCTTCACTGCAAATTTTATTAAGTATATACAAAATGTTGGAATTGGTCGGTCTGGGGTCCAGTTGGTGCCACAGTTTAAACAGCAGCATACACGGAAGTTCAGACATGTCTGATCACAATAAGAAAATTATGCACATGTCAATCTGCTGCAGAAACAATCTCGAAGTACCTTTCCAGCATCATGTCCTTGGACAGGTCGGTGAAGTAACCCTTGTCGACCTCAAGCCCTTGCTCTTCTGCAATCTGCTCCACCAGCCACTGAACCTGATCGGCTCCGACATGATCTGGGTCCAGCAGGCACGCGATCTCCATGCAATTATCTCCATGGAAGAGAGCAAGCGCCTGCACCGTCGGGAACCCTCCGCTCCGTCCGGTCACCCTTTGGGTGATCCTTCTTACGGTCGGGAGATCCTTGCAGAATATTGGCACATTGTAGCTCTCGACGAAAGGTTTAGCTCCGACCATGGTGGCTCCTCTCTCACGAGAAACCTGAGCTGGGCCCACATCCGGCTTCACTGGTAGAGTATCAGGGAGCACCTGGCCTGCCCATTGGACACCCTTGTGATTTGGCCGGTAGTAGCCGAGCTCACGCCGTATTGCACTGACGCTCTTGCTGGTGGGGTGTGCTGCCGCGTAGAGGAACACCGGAACTGCATTATGAACAGGGAGGGAAGAGGGTCAGAATATGTATACAGTGTATCATCTCATTTGTTACTGACAGAAGAAAATCTTGGTGAAGAACACTACCTTGCAAGCCATTTCCAATGTCAGAGGCCACCAGCTTAGCCAGCTGTGCAGCATCCTCCATGGTGGCTGCTTGACTCAGGGGGTGGAACGACATGTCATCGACGACACCAATCCTTGGATGAGTTCCACTGTGCACTTCGAGATTTATGGCTGAAAATGCAGCCTCGATCATCGCCAGCAACACCTTCCTGATTGGGCTAAATACGGCTTCACCGGTTGAGCTTTCGCTGGTGATGTAGGAGACGAGCGTGTAGCGGACACGGTTGTAGTACTCGTCCTCGAACTTGCTGAGCAAAACCACCTCAGGGTCTTTCTGGCCTATGCGGCTGATGGAATCGACAACAGCCCCATTTTGGCTTTCAGAGATGTAGAGCTTGCAGCAGATAACCTTCGGGTGCATCGTGCTGAGCTTTGCCTTTGGAGCAGATGAACAGGGCAGGGATTCAGGTGAGGATAAATTGAAATTTCTTGTTCTTTTTACTTTGATATAGTACTGGATGGCTTAATCCTACTCCCTCTGTCCCATAATAAAAAAGCGTTTTTGACACTACACTAGTGTCAAAAACACTCTTATATTATGGGATGGAGGGAGTAGTATCTAGAACATGTATCTGATTGCGCAATCGATCCAGAGACAGCAGAAATCAGCTAGTTTTAGCATCTGTATGAGAATCTCAGCAGATTTTCTTTTCATGTGACCACAAGAAACAGGAATTAGAATTTAGAAAGTTCATATATGGCTGAATAACTCGAGTTTTTCGCACTCTGTCTGTTCTAGCTTCTATCTAAACTAAAAATCCTGGTTCAAATCTTGAGGAACTGGAGGGGGGGTCTGGGTACCAGAACATACCTGGTCGGTGCGCTTGCCCTCCATGCCTTCCGCTCTACCTCAATCTGAGTCTCTCTCGCGGGGGGGAATGGAGTGGAGTGGTAGAGCAATGCCTTCTTATGAATCAAAAAGTTGCTTGCAAGAAACCTTTTTGTCCTTGTCTTGTTCGTCTCTGAGTGAGCCCCAACCATGAGAGCAAGGACGGAGCATGTGCTCTTCGATCAGCTTTATGACTCAGCACCCCCCTACATATACTTGCATAATTATCTTTGGTTTCACCACAGCAGCATGCCACCGGCCTCTGGAAAACCATTTTTCTTATGCACACGGAACCTTGTCACCGTTGAATCTCTTGATTCATCACTCACAAACCTTGTCTCTCACTGTACTTCATCACTTTTGGTTTTGGATAATGAAATCTTGTTTGGTAACCACATCTAGTTGGCCAGTGCAATGTCATTGTCCACGTTGTTCGTTGAAAACCGTCACGAGAAGGGACTGGAATTAATGGCATGATAGCTCTCTGCATCTTGAAATGTCCATATATTTTGCCAAATAACTGAACCTTGTTGGACCTGAGTGTGTGTGGTGTGCTCATGGCCGTCCTGCACTATCCCTCTTAAGATAAAGGAGATCGGGCCTCCTACAGTCGAATAGCTGGACTGATACCAGACTTTTGCATGGAGGTTTCATCGCAACGCACTAGCTACAGGTAAAGGGCAGGTAAGTATTCTAAGTATATCAGTGAAAGTTGTTCTACTTGTGGAAATCTTGGAAATGAAATGCATCTCTTCCTTTTATGTCCTTTTGCTAAAGCAGCTTGGTATATGAATTATTAGCCCATCACAATCACTCAGTTCCAAATATGATCGAAGCTTTGATTACTTCCAATCACCCACAAATAAATATAACATCACTTTATACTTTTCTGTGGTGCATTTGGAAATTTCGGAACGACGCACGTTTTTGCAGGAAATTCCACACTCCTCAGGTACATGCAGCGGCAGCAGCAATCATGCAAGGTGCAAATTTGGAGGCAACAAATACGTCTCAGGCTAGCAGCGCAACTAGCTGGCCAAACTTGAAGGGGAATAAGGCTGTGGACGCATCTGGGCAAAGAGGAGCTGTTCTTACTCACAGTGTGCTGCCATCTCCAGGAAAAACAATCATGGATCTGACCAACATTACAGGTCCCATAGTATTTTCAGATGCTTCCTGGACTCTAGGACCTAAAGGGGGACCGGCAATTGCAGGAATAGGAGTTTTTATCCAGTTTGCAGGTGATAGAAGCTGCTCTCAGCTGTGCATATCAGCCACTTGGCCACCACTGGCGTCGGCCATCCAGGCTGAAGGCTGAAGCATTCAGCATGATGCTTGCTTCCCAGATTGCGCAGCTACTCCATCTTCAACATGCCACTTTCCTAACAGACTGTGCGACATTGGCGTCAGCTGTAGTTTCTCAAGACCTCATCTCAGATCCAGGTCATTGGACAATCAGACCTCAGCTCGCACATATTACAGGTTCCTCGGCGTTTGATATCACAAGGCTCTACCACATTAACAGAGGCCACCTTTTCGGGAAAAAAACAGAGGCTATAATTTTCGTGCTCATCATCATGCCAAGCTTGCTCTCAAAATTCAGAATACACCTTACAGGTTCAGATGCTTAGGAGTAGGCAATGAAGCCTGCCTCAATGCAGTTGTAGCTGCTCTTTCTACTGTGCTTAACTGCACAATTGTACATGTACGCTGTTGCTAAATAAATGAAATATTTCTGTTAAAAATAAAAGAAAGATATATATGGTCGAATTGCTGCTTTGCAGGTTGCATTCTGTGTATCAATTTCGTAACCGATCCAAGATATTTCGTCCGGAGGGCTCTGCATGCTCTGACGTCTCGAGAAGAGCAATCCGTGACTCTGATCAGCGGCGTACGTCGTCCTGATCATGAGGAGGCAAAGTGAGATAGGTCGCTGATGGGAAACGGGACAAACATCTGACCTGTATCGATGGGTACACTGCTCTCTGGATAGGACTGTGCGGCCGTAAGCGGCGTGGATCTTAGGCGTTCGGCTGTGGATTTCTAAAAGCAGTTGTGAAAAAACAGCTGTGAAAAAAACAGTTATGGAAAATCTGATGTGAAAAATATGTAGGTCATTTGGCAAACCAGCTGATACAGCTTTTTTAGATTTTGGCCCGAAGCGAAATCAAATTTTGGAAAGCACGTCCTGGGTTGCTTCCACTTTTGGTTCAGATTTTGGCAGCGGATTTCTGGAATCGAATTCTGCTGGGTTCGCCCTTTGGTTCAGATTCTGCTGCGTGGCAGCGGAGTCCGTCGATAAAAGCTAAAGCAAACATGGCCTTAGAAAAGCATTTGTGATCTGAAATGAGCCATCGTTTTCCACGTTGATATGCTCATGTAGCCATCTGCTCTGCCGCTGGTTTTTCTTTTCGGTTACTAGAGCTCGTTCGTGATGATTTGATGATCGGTCATGTGAACCGAGGTGACTCTGTATTCGGTGGCAAAAGATATATACAAAATGTCAACGGTCACTTTTGACGGCGTCTCACTGACGTGGACAAATAAGTTTTTCTTCCCTTGTGCTAATTCCTTGAAGATTACTGAGAACAATCACTTTTGATCTAGTCTCTTGTCTAGTAATAAAGTCTGTATTCAATCAGGAGCCATATTTAACATTACAATCAACAAAAACAAAAAAGGAACTCACAAATCCTATTTACCTCCCTGTTGGCAGAGTTGAGGGCCAAGCATGAGGGGGGCAACCCTGTGATGGCGAGCGTTGGGGTGGTGAGGAGGCGAACGGGGCAGAGGGATCATCACATCCCGGAAGCAGCTATTGCCCTGTCCTTCGCCAAGCGGGTGAGGGCGGATGTTTTCCGGGTCGTTATGCGCGTCCCCTCCCGGTTGCCTTCCATCGTCCCTCCCGGAGAGTCCTCGCCTCCTCGGCCGCCACCCAATTTTTGAAACCCTAGTGAGGAGGCCATGTACCTGACAGCGATACGTTCTCCGCTTCACCTAGATCCAGATGGATCCGCAGTGGTTGTCGCGGTGGAGCCCGAGGAAGTGCAGGTCCGACACCCTCGCGTGGGGAGGCGGTGCGGTTGGGGTGTCACGTGGAAAATGATGGACAAACATGATCCAGATCGAGATAGTTTTATTTCTTTGCGAACTGAGCGTGGCGTGGTAAATTTCCTTCGCTCGACAGAGTATCGTCCACCACCGTTAATTGCTAAACGCAGTTTTAACTGAGGGTTAGTGTAATCTGAATGGTTAGATCAAATGAAGTGATCTGATCGAGGGGCTATAATTTCTCTGTGTTGTTATGTGTAGCCTAAAATGGGTGGAGTTAGCCATGAATATGCTTTCTTGTTTAATAATAGTAGAGAAGTAGAGAAGAACACCAAATTATGAAGCACATTTGCTAGCTAAATTCTCTCATTCATTCGATCACGGGCGTCATATTTGGCTAGGCCAGCCCCATGACCCATTATGTCCAATTTTTGTAAACTTCAAATAATGAAGTGCGACCTTTCTAAAAAATACCTGTGTCTCGTGAGCTCTCGTGTGGAATCTCCAATTCTTCGGTGGACCACTAGACACGAGCTGAAGATCAGTTTGTTATGTTTTCTTGGGCATTCTTCTCTGGTTCTTT